AATTGGCTTACTGAGTGTTTCACTTCTTTCTTCATTTCAGCCTAAGTATTCTTCAATATTTCTAACTCTTTTCTGAATTCATTCAGAAGTTCATCCCTGTCTTCCTTCAGTTCTTTGATTTCTTTGTATGTTCTTTGAATTCACTGAAAATTTTTATCATGTTTATAATTATTCTTTTGAGTTCCATGTCCTGCATTATCTCTAGGGGGTCTCATTTTACTCCTCCAGAGGACTGTTGGTATTTGGTGAGGATATGTTATTTTGGTTTTTCATGTTATTTTTTCTCTGTGATTTTGACATGTGAATTTGTTTTGTAGTTTCTGATTCTTGTGTGAGACTCAAGCCTTCACATTTAGGTCTGCTTCTTTTTGTGAACTTTATGTGTCCTTTTGGTTGACTTTTCAGGCATGAAAAGCTGGTTTGTCTAAGCTTCCAGTTCTCTCTTTTGATTTTATATTGGAGTGGCCGGATTGCTTTTGTCTTCAGGAGTTCCCACAGAGGCCCAAGTCAAATGAGGATCAGATGCTCTCAGGCTTTCTCCTAAGGTCTGGATCCCTCCAGGAAAATTTTTGGCCTCAGAAATTTGGGGGTTGGACTGGCCTGGGAGCTGGGCCCAGAAAGATGCTGGTCTAGGGCAGGTGGTGGCCATGCCACCCAGAGATGCAAAAGAAGATGGGGGCAGAAGTGGCCCCAAGGGCTCCTGGGGACTGCCCTGAGGAGCTGGGTTGGTCTAGATGTAAAGGATCAGGAAGAGGAAAGGTCAGCCCCTGGCGTCCAAGAAAGAGGCTGGAGGGTCTTGCAGGCCCAGGGAAGCAGAGGGTGGTGAGGGTGGGGCCTGGCCCAGAGTGCTCCTGGGGACCTGAGAAGGAAGTGAGTTCGTCTGGATGCATAGGATCAGGAAGCAGTGGTGGTTCCCCTTGCGCCTGGGGCGCCAAGACAAGGAATGGGACAGGACCCAGGCTAGGAGGGGAGATGAAGGGTGAATGAGGCTGGGGGAGTCAAGGCGTGGAGGACGCCATCGACCTACCCTGTTGAGAGGCCTGCGGGTTGGAGAGGGGCCTGTGCATCGTCCAGGCTGTTTTTTGAGACAGGGTCTCATGTATTCCAGGCTGGCCTTGAACAGTATACAATTATGGTAAGTTTTAAAATGCATACAGTTCTGAGTGACTGGATGAGCTCTCATGACATTTTGCACCAGCCTGTCAGGATCACTTGAAGTGGATGATCTTCCTTCAAAAGAACCCATCTTTAAAAATAAGGTGAGTAATTGTGGAAGACACATAACATCAACTTCAGGCCTCTACATGTACATGTGCTCCCACACACATAAAAACACACAACCACCCACAACGACACTTTGAGAAAGTACATTCACATAACTTTTACTTAGTGTGATGTTATAATTCTATTTTTATTAATCTCAAAATTTTATTTTTATTGTTGTGTATGTATGTCAGTGTGAGCATTTGCTGTCTGTGCAAGGTTCCTGCAGAGGAGGACAGCAGAGGGCATTGCATCCCCTGGAGCTGGAGTTGCAGGCTTTCTGAGCCCCCTGAAGTCCAGTCATCTAGGGAATTGGGAGTAACCATGTGAATTACAGAAATCTTTTCCATCTATGAGCCTCAAGAAATCCAAGGAAAGGTCTAACTGGCTGGGGGGGGATAATCCTTCACAGGCTGGTGCCAGTTGTATAGCATGTCTTTTAGATGGGCAATCAGTTGTTTCCTGTCCAGTATTAAGTATTACTGTGCATCTACTTCCATAGGCTCCTTCCAGCGTTTTTCTGTGTGTGTGTGTGTGTGTGTGTGTGTGTGTGTGTGTGTGTGCCTATGTGCAGGTGCACATGTGTATAGGTGCCATTCGTCTTTTTTATTTTTCCTGGTACTTGACACGTCTGCTAGGCTGGCTGGTGAGCGCAAGGAATTCCAGTGCCTGTTTCCCCAGCGCTGGCTTTTTAAATTCATTTTTATTTTTTGTGGGCTCTGGGGATTAAACTCAGATGCTTTGAGTGCTGAGCCCTTTCCAGCCCCGTTCTTCCAACTTTGTCAAAGTGCCTATTACAGAGTTCATGCTTGAGTGTTCTAATGAAGGAGTGGATTAAAGGTACTTAAAAGCATCTAAGGCCATCTGACCGTTAGAATTTCTTTTATACAAACTGCTGGTGGACCTAACGAAAGTGTTGCTTTCAGTTATTTGGTACCCAGTTCACTGCGCAGTGCGATGAGGTCGTACCACCGCCTTCCTTCCCTGACAGGCAGGGTCCTGGGCCGGGCTCCGGGAGCCCTTCTGCGCCTGACTAGAGTTCCCTTCTGCCTTCCCCAAACACTTCCGACAGCTAAGCCAGGAGGTCCAGGAGAGCATCAGTGCTGGGTCTCCGAAGACCCCGCCTCCCAAAGTTCCCGGCGTGCCTTGCGCCCCCTGGCCGGAAGGCGGAAGTACGGAAGCTTCCGGCGGTGAGGCGCGTGTGGTGCGTGTTTGTGTTTCTCCGGTGAGTTCGGTGGGCTCCCGGGCTCCGTTCTGTCCGAGGGGGACTTGGTGTCGTTCTCTACCTCCGCACCGGCGCCTGGCGATACGGGGCTCCGGCCTGGCCTGCGTAGGGCGTGGGGCGGCCCTCGGTTTCCAGGCCGTGGAGGGTAGTGAAGCGCGGGTGATACAGCGGGCCGTTGGCTCACCACAAGTCTGCACGGACAGTGTGGCTGGTCTCAGCCAGTTTGTGCTGGCGTTCTTACGCTACTCGGCTAGTCCGGCCACAATTTGCCTAACCCGCTGTGTGCAAAGCCGAACCTCGGAGCGAGCTCGCGGTGAATAGGCCCTACTTACTCGCAGGCCTCTCGGGGAGACCTAGTAGTCGGGTTGAAACCGGTCCTTAGGGAGGGGCTTACAGAGACCACAGAAGTATTGAACCGAAAAGACCTAGCTTGAGAAGAGCGGTTCCCAGACCTAGGAGCAGCGAATGTGACGGGACCGAAGTGGACATGGTGTGGGCTTTGTTCAAGTGTACATGGAGACTGCGGGTGGCGGGGAAGAGCGAGATGAGAGTTGGAGGCAGGGGACAAGCCTCCAGCCCTCTTTGGGGGTTGCAGTGGATGTTGTTGTAATGTAAATCGTTTTGTGACTCGTAAGCTGCTGCATAAACAAATGTAAGGTAATGATGCTTTGTATTTCTGGGGAAGTTAACTATCCTGTAAAGGGAGTAAGGAGTTTTGATAATTGGGTTGATTTATAGTTTATCGTAGACTACAAAAAATGATTTGACGTTCATTTTTTTTGTGTTTGAGACAGGATCTCATTATGTGGCCATGGCTGGCCTGGAACGCACAATGTAGACCTGGCCCGGAACTTAGAGATATCCGTGTGCCCCTGCCTCCAAAGTGCTGGGATTAAAGGCTTGGACCACCATGCCAGGGTCATTTGACGTTCTTGTCACTTAATGGCTGTATGTGCTTCCTTGATCCTCACAGAAGCTACACATGAAACCATCATAAATCTTGGGATTTTTGTTTCTTGTTTTTTTTTTTTTTTTTTTTTTTTTGTATTTTTGAGGCAGGGTCTCTGGTTGCCCCAGCTGGCCTGAAACTTTATGGAGAGGAGGCTGGCCTGAATCTCAGAGACATCCGCTTGTCTCTGCCTCCTGAGTGCTGGGATTAAAGGTGTGTGCCACCACACCCGGCTGTCATCATGAATCTTGAATGGAGTGAATAAGTAACTTTCTGTTTTTGCTTTATAAAGATAACTGCTTAACTGCTTGTCACATATTTAAGGGTTTGCCTATATTTTTTTTAATAGTAAATTATTTTCTTTCGTATATGTGTTTTTCTTAATTGCTAGGTAAATCATGGCTAAAAGCTTACGGAGTAAGTGGAAAAGGAAGATGCGTGCCGAAAAGAGAAAAAAGAATGCCCCAAAGGAGCTCAGCAGACTTCAAAGTATTCTCAAAGTAGACAGTGATGTTTTAATGAAAGATGTTCAAGAGATTGCAACCGTGGTGGTCCCCAAACATTGCCAAGAGAAAATGCAGTGTGTGGTGGAAGATGAAAATGGTGAGCTGTATTTCAATGCTAATAGTTCTTTCCGTTTTCTCTTACGCTTTTTTGACCTTCCGTTTCTGCTTCTCCCTGGCATAGTTGTTATGTCCATATCTATATTCTTTGAAGACTTATAGTTGTACTAGGGATTCTGTGCTAAACTGTTTACAGTCAGTTTATGTGAATAAGCATGCTATGGGTTATTTAGAATCAATTTAGTGATTATACAGCAGCCTGAGTGTGTCATCAGGAATAGGTGATACTATAGGAACAAGCTTAGACAGCCCTCATTGGGTGGGTACACAGTTCATTCAGGATTTGGGCAGGTTAGACAGAGGTTTTTCTTGTATTCTTTGCAAGACCCAGTTTTCATTGTGTGAATTCAATGCACTACTCTGAAATTAAAGAATTTTACTTTATGTTGACATATTTTAGAGAACTCTGTATATTAATTATAGTTTGAATATTGAGGCTATGTATAATGCTAGTTTCAGCCAAGAAAAGGCTCATTGGTTTTTCCCATCTTAGCGTACCAATTTGGCAACAGGCTAAATAAACATTCACAATACCAGCTCTTAAAGTATATTTATGTGGACTCTTACATAAAGTCAAGGAGAACAGTATCCCCAGAGTTTCTAATCCTAGATGTTATCATTCCCATTCCTCCAAAGGGAAAAATCTCCTCTTTGCTCTTACATTTCTGTTGGTCTCCTGCTTTGTTTCAGCTGTCCTGGAAAGCTTTGAACACTTGGTTTTGCTTGGCCTGGCCCTTCCATCATGTTCCTGCCCTTCATTTTGTCACGTCTGTGCCTTCACTTTTCCTTGCTCTCATTTTTCCGTGTGACTTTGACCATTTTAATGTGTACAACTCAGTGGCCTTTCAGACATTCACAATGTTGTGTACCAGTCCCCTAGTTCTGAAACATTTTCATCACTCCTAAAGGAAACCCTGTACCCATTTGGCAGTTTCTTTCCCTCTTCCACCAACTCCTAGACCTCTTAACAGCCACTAATGTTTACTGTCTGTATGGATTTCCTATTTGGGCTATAGCATATAAATGGAATTACACAATATGTGATCTTCTATGCCTCCTTTATTTATTACTTTTATGTGTATGAATGTATTGCCTGCATGTGTGTAAGTGCACCCTTGTCGTGTAGTGCCTGAGGAGGTCAGAAGAGGGTGTTGGATCCCCTGGAACTGGAGTTAAGGGCAGTTGTTAGCTGCCGTGTGAGTGCTGGGAATCAAATCCAGGTCCGCTGCAAGAGCTGTCAGTGCTCTTAACCTCTGAACCATCTCTCCAGCCCCCCTCCCAACAATTTTTTTGGGGGTGGGGGGGTTTGAGGTCTTTTTGAGACAGGGTCTCCTTGTAGCCCTGGCTGGCCTGGAACTCGCTATGTAGACCAGGCTAGCTTTGAATTCACAGAGATCTGTCTGCCTTTGCCTCTTGAGTACTGGGATTAAAGGCATGTACCACCATGCCCAGCTTGCCTCCTTAAAAAAAAAAATTATTTTTATTTTATGTGTGTGTGTTGCCAGCATGTATGTAAGTGCACCAGGTACAAAATATGCCAGGGGAGACCAGAAGAGGGCAGTGGACCCCTGGAACTTGAGTTAAAGATCTACCATGTAGGTCTTGGGAACCAAACCCCGGTCCTCTGAAACAACAGCCAGTACTCTTAACCACTGAGCTACCTCTCCAGTCCTTTGTGCCTCTTTTTTAAAAAAAATATTTTATTTTTTATTTTATGTGTATGAGTGTATTGCCTGCATGTATGTGAATGCACCCGTGTCGTGCAATGCCGCAGAGGTTCTTTTAGTTCAGTGTTAATTTTGGAGGTTCACTCTTGTTTTAGCATAGATCAATACTTCCTTTTTTAGGTTAAACACTAGTTCATTGTGTATAGCACAGTTAATTACCCATGGTTAGTTGGCATCTGAGTTACTTCCATGCTTCTGTGGTCTAGTGAACTTTAGAGTATAAGTTTGTTTGAATGCCTGTTTTCAGTACTTTGGATAGTCCAACTTCCCTGAATGGAATGCTGGGTCATTCTTTGCTTGCTGTTTCCAACATCAGCCACACCATTATATATTCCATTAGCAATGTTAGGACTTACTTTCCATTGTTAGTTTTATTATTGCCACCCTTAAGGGTATGAAGTATCTTACTGTGATTTAAGTCCTTTGCCTCTTTTTAAAATTGGATTGTCTGTCTTGTTGTTGTTGCATTTTAGTTTATAAATTCTGGACCGAGGTGCCCTTGCACTCCTGAGTCTCTTACATTGAACTCTGCTTGCTTTCTTTTTTGTTACATTGTCTGGCTTCCTCAATTTTATTTTGTAGGTTTTGTGCTACTTAATATCTATTATTTTTCCATTTCCATTTTTTTTTCTTTTCACTTTTTTATAGCTTCCTGCTTTTACTAGGTAGCTATTTTATCTCATCGAGGGCATTAATTTTCACTTGCTTTTGGAATTTGAACAGAAATGTATGCATTGTTTTCTCTCAGGTTCTGACTACCTTGTCTTCATCCTTCAGTTCTTTTATGCTTGTCTCTCTAAGGTGTTTTTCAAATGCCCGATCACTACTCATATTTTAGTGAGTTGTTCATATTTAAATGAGGCAGTAAAATGGCTGGAAGCCAGGTGTAGGGGAGTATCAGGTTTGTGGGGAGGGTGTATCAACTTGGAGACCTGTGGAATAATTGGAGTGACTCTAGATTTTGTTAGGATATTTACTGTTTTAGAATTTGTTTCTCTCCTTTTTTCTTATTACCTTTAGAGAAGAATTCTCCCATTTTTCTGCCTGGAAAATGTGTAGGTGCCCTAATTTCTGTTAGTGTTCAGGAACTAAGTGGGAATGGAACTGAAGGTGAGGACAGTCTCCCTGTTTAGTTACCCGTGTTTTTGAGTATAGTCCTTTCATGTATGTGTTTCTCCTTTTCTTCCTTTGACTGCTTACACAATTTCTTAAGCCTCTACCCCTCTTTCTTCGTCCCCATATCTAAGCCATTAGCAAATATTTGTTTAGATCCAAATTACCTTGGAATGTATCCGTTTTTCTCCAGATGACCAGCAGCCTTTGCCTGTCCCATGATCCTAACTTTTTTGCTTCCTCTTTTGCTCTTGTTTCTTTTTTCTATGGATGAACCATCTTGATCTTTTTAAAATATAAATCAGATTCTGTCACCTCTGCTTCAAACATACAAGTTTCTTTCCACGTGTTTATCAGAGCCTCCCAAGTCAGTTTGGTTTAGATATTTCCAGAAGCCAATGGAGTTTTCTTTTTGTCTCCTTTGTTTTCCCTTTAACAGAAAATTGTGAATTACATGAGGACAAGGAGCTTACATGGACCCTAGGTGGAACCCACCAATAATCTCTCAGCAGCTGCTTCCATACCTGCTGTTATGCTGAATAATAATGACATAATGACGTGTGTGTGTGTGTGTGTGTGTGTGTGCGCGCGTGTGTGTGTGTGTGATGTCAGGTAGTAAAGATAACAGAAGATCTTAGATACCATGGTTAGGTCTTGGAGAGGGACGTTCTAGGTATGTTCCTATCCTGTAGATAGGTTTCACTGCAGAAAGCACAGCTGTGTCTCGTGAGTGTTATATGGAGAAAGGAAAAATGGCAGTCCCAGAATGTGTAAGTCGTACTGTTTTATGCCCATCTGTCATTACAACCTCAACTGATCACTATCAAGAAGTTTAAGATAAGTAGGTAAGATGGAGAGATGGCTAGTGGTTAAGAGCACTGGCTGCTCTTGCAGAGGACCCACGTTTGGTTTCCAACACCTACATGGTGGCTACCAACCATGCAACTCCAGTTCCAGGGGGTCTGACGCCCTCTTCTGGCCTCTGTGGGCACTGCATGTGTAGGTGCATTTACTTATATGCAGGCAAAACACTCATAAACTAAAAATACATACTAAGATAAGTAGGATTTAGTTGAAGAACATTCCTAATCAGTTCTTTTACTTCTAAGGCCTGTCCCTTAGAAGTATGGGCACACTGCTTCTTTTTTTTTTTTAATATTTTATTTATTCTTTTTATTTTATGTGTATGAGTGTATTGCCTGCATGTACGTGAGTGCACCCGTGTCGTGCAATGCCATGGAGGTCAGAAGAGGGCTTCGGATTCCCCTGGAACTGGAGTTAAGGATGGTTAGTAGCGCCATGTGGGTGCTGGGAATCGAACCTGGGTCCTCTGCAAGAGCAGTCAGTGCTCTCAACCACTGAGCCATCTCTCCAGCCCTGGGCACACTGCTTATTAACTATCTTACTTAACTGAGGGATCACTTACTATGAGGAGGGGTCTTAGAACTTGTGTGTGTGTAAATATACTTCTTTGCTGATGTGGTGAATCCAAATCATGCATCCTAATTGTTGTCCATTTAACTTTATTATTCCAAATGACATGAGGAAAACATTTTTTTATTTTTTTTTTATTTTTGTTTTGTGTGTGTGTGTGTGTGTACGTGTGTACGTACCTGATGTGGAGGCCAGAGGTTGATGTTTGGTTGGATGTCTCCCTCTATCATGCTCCACCTTTTTTTGAGCCAAGGTGTCTTATTGGACCCAGCCCAGCGCTCATCAGTTGGCTGAACTAGCTGGCCAGGGAACTTCAGGGATTCACCTGTCCCCATGAGAGACCCCCACCCCTACTCTCTGGGGTTACAGACAGAAGCTGCCATGTCCAGTTTTCACGTGGGTGCTGGGATCCCAACTCAAGTCCTCATCCTTGCACAGTAGGCACTTTACCAACAGAGCCATCTCCTGAGCCCCAAAGAGAACACTCTTCAGAAAAATCTTCCTTAATGGAGACACTATTTCCCTAGTTGCATTTTTTTCATTGATGATTTTAGGAACATAGAGCAAGGTGTGTTTGATTATGTCGACTTTGCTGTACAGAGTCAAAGGGTGCTACAAAACCTTTTTCTCTCGATACTTTCAGACTACCTTTTGTTCTAACGTTCTTGATGCTTTCATGTGCTTTTACAGGGTTGTTTTTCATGCATGAAATGTTAATAGTTTTTCTGTTGGTTGTTTTTAGATGACATGAAAATGGAAACTGAGATTAAGAGAAGCACAAAGACTCTTCTAGATCAGCATGGACAGTACCCAGTATGGATGAACCAGAGGCAGAGAAAAAAGCTGAAGGCAAAGAGACAGAAAGGAAAGGGGAAGAACAGGGCAAAGGCAGCCAAGGGTTTGGCCTGGTAGACTCTTAAAACGTGAGAAGTGCCACATGGGACAGAAGTTGCATTGGAATGTCTGAATTGATTTCAGCTCTCACTATGTGGGAGCTATTTGTTTTCATATTTTAATTTGGTCTACTTCTCTAGTTTGGAATCAAAATAGCTCCTCCAGTTTGTTTCAGGAACTTGAATAAAATAACTCCTTTGATGAAGGAAAACTATACAGAAATTTTAATTGTATATGACCAGTATCCAAGTATTATCAATCTTGTCAAGTATTGATGTGGTTATAATTGCTTGATGTAACAACATGCAGTTATATTCAGTGCATCAGATAAAACCTGAAATACTGACAGAATTCAAATAGAAAGCCATTATATCAGCATATTTAAAAACAAGACATCAAGTGACTAGAGAGATGGCTCACAATTAAGAGTGCATGCTACTCTTGGAGAGGACCCGGGTTGGTTTTCTAGCACCCATGTCATGCTGCTTACAACCAACAGCCTGTAGCTTTGACTCCAGGGGATCTACGCCCTCTTCTGCCCTCCACAGGCACCTGCACTCATGTGCACAAACTCATAGATAAATACACACATAATTAAAAACTAAAATCTTTGTAAAAAAGGACAGGGGATAGATGGTTAAGAGAACTGGCTGTTCTTTCAGAAGACTTGGGTTCAGTTCCCAGCACCCACATAATGCCTAAGAACTGTCCTTAACTCCAGTTCCACAGGCTCTGATACCCTTTCTGACTTCCACAAGCATTGTACCACATGGCACAGTTACATACATGTAGGCAGTTCACTCACATAAAATAAAAATAAAGGATATCAGTGGATCTTACAAACAGAACTTACTTGGAGGTTTTATTTTGTTCATAATAAAAGATATTTTGTGTGTAGATCTTGGAAGTTTTATGTTTTCTTTGGTATAAATTTGTTTCCCAGTACTAAAAGAGATGATGGTTCAGTTTTAAAAGTCTTTAAATTTTGCTGGGCGTGGTGCACACACCTTTGATCCCAGAACTTGAGGCAGACAGGCAGATCTCTGAGTTCAAAGCCAACCTGGTCTACATAGCGAGTTCCAGGCCAGCTGGAAAAAAAGACCAAAAAAAGTCTAATTTTGTGTACTTTTTAGGAAATTAAAACATGTCAGGTTTTCCCTAAAAATGGGTGTTCTATGGTTTTAATATTTTGTGGCTTAATGAAACAGTGCAGTGTTTTATAGAGTATCATGTAGAATCAGTTTCTCTGAATGTTTGGTTAAAATACATGTGCACATATCAAGTTGGGAAATGGTACATACTTAAAATTCATAAGATTAATATAGGTTTTTTTGTTTGTTTTTTGATCTTTTTGAAACAGGGTCTCCCTGTAGCCCCAGCTGGCCTGGAACTCACTGTGAAGACCAGGCTGGCCTTGAACTCACAGAGACCTGCCTGCCTCTGCCTCCTGAGTGCTGGGACTACAGGCGTGCACCACTACTCCCAGCAAGATTAATATAGTTTTATAAAGTGATCTAGTAGTAACAAGAACCAGCCCAACTTTGACTCTTTGAAACTAATTTTCTTAGACGTAGAATAACTTTGAAGTGTTGGTATTGAGATGAATTTTAGTAAAACCTGTCCTGCTATACCTCATTAATTTCACTCACTTAAATTTAGAATTCCATCTGAAACTTCAGGGACTTTCCAGACAGTAGGAAAGCTGGGAGCTGTGCACTTGCACAGAAGAAAATCACAGGAAAACTAAGTTAAAAAATGAACTGTGTTTAAGACTACTTGGCCATGAGGCCACAGACTTTGCCAATCATACTGTCAGGCATAGATATACCCAAATCCTGTAGGAGATGGGAATCTAAAATTTAATGCCAGTGAAAGTTTGAAATCAGTATTATAGGCTGTCCTCAGTTTACTCAATAGGTCATTGAAAAGTTAGTGAATAACTTAAACATTCTTTGAAAGCAAGAAAAGGCAGGGGGTGTAGCTTGGTTGTAGAATCCTTGCCCAGCGTATACTAGGCACTCGGTTTGATCCCTGTACTTAGGGGTGAAAAGAAAACAAAAGGAACTGGAAGATAGATGTTATTCATGGTCTTTGTTCCTTCTTGTTATAGTTGTGAATAACAGTGTTTGCGAGGGGAAAATACATAAATGTTTCTGAAGTAGAAAGCATACTTTTAAGCTACTACCAGGATACTATAGGCATTGTTTATGTTAATGTTACACACTTTCAGCTCCATTTAAAATTTAACAGCATTTTCAGATGTTCTCTAACTAGATTTCCTCCAAGTTGAACAAGAAATCAATTCCAGAGGTTTATTATACACATTTTATATATCTCATAACCTCAATTTGACACCCGTGTTAGAAGCTTTGAGCTCAAGTACTGATCACACAAGCATGAGGACCTAAGTTTGGATCCCCAGTACCCCCACAAAAATCCAGACCCAGGGGCATGTGCATGTGCCTCTAATCTCAGTGCTAGGGAAACAGATAGGAGAATGATCCCATGGTATAGGCCAAGGTCATTAGTGACCAGGTGACTAATGAAAAGTGATCTGCTAGTCAGCCAGTCTGGCCAAATGGTTCATCATGAACTCTGGTATAATGAGAGAGACCTTGTCTTTAAAAGGTGGGGATTTGGGGAGACATGGTTCAAAAGTTGAGCCCTTCCAGAGGACCCTGTACCTGCATGGTAACCAACAACTGTAACTCCAGGTCCAGGGGATCTAATACCCTCTTCTGACCTCTGTGGTGTTTGCATGCACATGGTGCACTCATGTACATGTAGACAAAGCACTCATACACAAAAATCTGTCAAAAAATGTTTTTTAAAAAGCAGAGAGCAGTTTAAGGAAGACACCTAACGGGCCTCCATGTGCCACCTCTGTGTACACCCCATGTCCCCTGCCCCACAGAAATACAACACAACATTTGAGGAATCATGGCCTCTGGGAAGGTGACTGCCAGACATGACCTCCTGTGGTGAGTCTAAGACACTTGAGTTGACCTGTGGGTCTGGGAGGATTCTTCCCACCTCAGATTTTGGTGGGAAATTTAGACTAACATTCCAAAATTAGGTAGGGGTTTGATAACTTCTTTGTCGCTTTATTCTTAAAACCTTATATCTTGAGAAGAACAACATAGTCTTTTTATATAAATAGCTCATCTTTTAAAATTTGTCATCGTTTTGATGTTTCTTAGGGAATTGCTATAAAACCACCAGGTGGAGCTCAAGCTAAGCAGCACATCACTTTTGGAATTAGACTGAAACAAGACTAACCCACGTTAGGAATGGAATGGAACTTTTTTTATTTTTAAAGAAAATAAGAAAAACTAATTGTAAAAGTATTTCCTCATTTAATTCACCCAGAAATCCTTTGAGTTTGTTGGCAATGTTATTTGTACATGAGGAAACTGAGGTGCATGGGCCATCTAGCTAAAACCAGGACAGCTGAAATCCAAATTAAGGTCCAGTTCCAAAGGCTGTATTCTTACAGTGATTCTGCCTTTCGAGAGTGCACAAAATTTCCCAGAGAAAAAAGATAATCTTAGCCTTTTATTTGGCTTAATCCATGGGATTTTTGTTGATTCAAGATCAGAAGAAGAGGGGGCTGAAGAGATGGCTCAGTGGATAAGAGCACTGACTGTTCTTGCAGAGGACCTGGGTTTGATTTCCCAGCACTCACATGGTGGCTAACAACCATACATAACTCCAGTTCCAGGGGATCTGACGCCCTCTTCTGACTCCGTGGGCATTGCATGACACAGGTACACTTAGATACATTCAGGCAATGCACTCATACACATAAAAAATAATAAAATATATTTTTAAAAAAATAATGATTTGTAGACCCCTCCTCAAATCTCTGAAAGGAAGCCAGACTGGATTTCCCTATATAACATTTCATTAGAAATGCACTGACTGATCCAAAAGTAGAGGCCATAGATCAAGGGTGTTAGTGAAAAGTGACCAGCTGTTGAAGTCCTAAAGTAGAATCGAGTAGGATTTGTGTTTTGACAGTTTTTATGGCTTATTTGAATTTTAAGACAGGGTCTTGTTAATGTAGCCTTGGCTAGCCCAGTATTCATAACTCCAGCTGACCTCAAATTTGCAATAATCCTCCTGCCTCAGCTTCTCTAGTACTGAGAGGCATGTGACATCATGCCTGGCAAGTTGGCCTTGACTACATTTTGTTTCATTGCTATCACATTAATGTAGATACACATTTCCCCATAGTTCACATGCTACTTAAAATACACAGTGATTTCTTTACTTATAAAGAAATTCAGTGTTTTCAAAATTTACATCCATGTATCTGGGGTATGAGTTTTAGGAGTTGGAGAAGAAAAAGTAACTGGCTATAAATGACTTGATTCAAGTCCTTGAAATGTCCTGAAGGACACAGTGAAGGATGATAATAATGCATAGTTTAGTGAAAATTAGGCACAAAACTGGGGAAAAGGGGACTCTAAAGACACCACAAGGAATTGCCAAATAAATACCATGATTGAACTGCAGATTTTGAGCTGTTGACTAATCTCACTAGCTCATGCCAATTGGCTGAGTGACTCAGATTTGTGCTAGGTCCTGCACAGCATTTTTTCCGTTATATTCACCAGCATAGAACATCACTTTGCTGCAGAGACACAGCAGTTTTACAGGAACATGTTTGGGGATGAGAGGAGACTTTCAGGTACATACACTAGGTCAAAGGCCACTCTGCATCCCCAAGTGTCAAGCTGACAGAAACCAGGTCAGGTTTGGGCCTATTCACAAAAGAAATCTTAAGTTTTACATAGCTCAGGCTAGGGAGATAGCTCAGCAGGTAAGAACATTTGCTACACAAACATAGGACCCGAGTTCAAATCCCCAGAACCTATGTAAAAAGCTGGGAATGGTCACGTGCCTGTAACCTTAGTGTTGTGTGTGTATGGCAGGGAAGAGGTAGACAGGAGGATTTCTAGGGCTTGGGAGCTTCAGGTTCAAAGGAGAATTGCCTCAAGGGACTAAGGCAGAGGGTGATATAGAGTAGCATACCCAGCATCCTCTGACCTCTGAGTGTACTCACAGGTAAGTGCCCCTGCATACACACACACACACACACACACAACACAGGCACACACAACACGCACAAGGTTTACATAGTTGATTTCCAAAGGCTTTTTAAAAAAAAAGTTTTATTTTTTATGTGTATGAGTATTTTGCCTGCCTGCATATATGCATGTGTACCATGTGTGTGCAGTACTGGCAGAGACCAGAAGAGGGCATTAGATTCCCCAGGAACAGATGTTTGTGTGCTGCTATGTGGATATTGGGAACTGAACCCCAATAGCAGCAAGTGCTCTTAACTGCTGACATCTCTGTAGCCCCCCCAAAGTTTTATTTTTTGCACTTATTTTAAAGCAGATGGAAAATACAATGTGATATTAAGTAAAACTCATTTCATAGGATAAAAGTCAAAACAGGCAACATTTAAAAATGCTTATTTTGTTAAACACTTCATATAGATTATTGAGTCTGTAAAACAACGCTGAGAAATTCATATTTTTACCCCTAGTTTCAGGTCAGGAAACAGTTTGGAGGGGTAATGTTCAAAGTCGTGCAACTGTGAAGTCATGGGCAGTGCTATTCAGACTATAGAATTACTGTCTACGATGGGAAATTATAGAGACAAACTGATTCCATCTAAAGAGAAACCCTCTATCTAAGATGCTGGGGGATGAAATGAGCCAGCTCAAGCTGGACCACCACTTGGTTGAAATGTAGCTGAAAGATTAAAAAGCTTGGAATTTGGGTTGAAATTTGTAAAAGTCCCTTTGTGTCAAGAAATGCTGTGTAGCAAGTTGTGTTTAAAATGTTTTGTACTTACTTTGCTCTGTCCAGTCGTTGGGCACTAC